GTAATAAGAGAGGCATCCCAATCCTCAGACAGGGTGACCTTTCCGAGTACAACACGTACATGAAATGGATGCCAGGCAAATGTGTTGTACGTCCTGTCACCCAAAGCGCGTCATTTTGCTAAATGCGATGCGCTTTCAGAGGTCGCGCTCATCAAAGCTAAACAGCTATATCACCACCTGCAGATCGAAATTAATTTGTCCCTTTCTCCGTGATTTATGTGAATGCATTTGTCATGACATAAGCATTGGACCCTAAATGTCTCTATGTGCTTGTAGCAGTGCTCACACATACAGATGATGCAGCTCGTGTCATAATTTAAGTCCTATTTCAAAATCAGGAAAGACAGAGGCTCCAGTGTAGCTCCATGAATGTGTAAGATCAGGGATCTCTTCTCAGATCCGAATAACAAACGCTGGGGAATTTCCACTCATAACTACAAAACAATGGAGAGTTTGCCACATTTTTAGGCCATGACCTCTATTGTTTAAATAATTTGATATTTAGCAAAAATGCAAAGTGTAATTTAATATAGAAAACAAAGGCTATTTTATATACGTGATGTGAGCAAAGAAGTGATTTGTCAGTAAACCGTTTTGGCTTCCTTAAGGCAATATAGAAGAGACGGCGATAGTATGGGCTGTGTTTGCAAGCGGAGACGTGGCAAAGGGAAGGCAGTGGGCCCCCTAGTGGTGTGTCTTGTTGGTACTGAGGGCTGTGGACTTCCCATTGTACAATAACATCAGCCTTCTGTTGACATCACCACAATAGAACATTGAATTATGATTCCATCTTTGGGGTAAGTGTCTCTTAATGCAATAAGAGGGAGAGCTCTTCGGAACATGGACTGCTTCATTGATTTTTAGGAGAATGACCTAGACATACAGTCAACCTTTATATATATAATTTGCAACGTGCTTATATCAAGCGTCAATGAGCATGACACTGCATATGTCCCAGTTACATCCTCCGCTTCTCCCCAACTGAACTGGAAAGTGTGTTTTGCTTGGAACCACGTTCCACGGTCTGACTTTCCTATGGTCTATTCTTCTGCCTCCCTGTCTTTTCTTCTTGCATAATCCCCGACTGGGTAGGAGCTCCTTAACTTGCGCGAGGAGACATCCAAGCGGTTCGGGGCCCCTGCCTCATCAGGGACCTTCGGCTGCCTCCCGACTTCTCATCTTCTTTTCAATCCCTAGCAAGAATCCGCTTTTTTATCTCCCTAACTGCCGTCGCCTATTAAACCGGAACCGCATCTGTGGTGATTTGTGGAAATTATTTTTACACGCGTCATTGTGATAAATCATCCATAAAAGCGTGAGGTGGAATGTGAGAGCCACGTGAACATTTCGGAAAAGGTATTGCGCAGAGAATGGAGTAGCCAGTGACCCGGGATGGGGGGGTGGGGGGGGTGATAGATCTATACAATTACTTGACCACAGCTTTTTTTAAAAACTGGGTCACGTTTAATATGATTCAGACTGACCATCCTACTATGGGATTGGAGAGTCATTTGGCTGAGTTAGGGATGAGGGTTTGGAATGGAGACAGAGGTCTCTCAGTAGCACGGCGCACAGTGTACTCCTGCTGAACACAGCCTGGGGCGGCCTGTCTCTGACTCAGCTCTCACCTTCACTGCAGGTCCCTGGAGGACAAAAAGAGGCGGATTATAGTAAAGTGTTTAATTACTGTTTGTAATTCAAACTTTCCTGGCTATTAAGAGCCAATCAGTTTTCTCATTTGAGTCTAAAAATAAAGGGTTATACACAGATGTTTACCTCGCACGTAACATCGGACCGGCGACGGCAGGCCGACTTACAAGCATTGCAGACTTTTGTGATATGATTTGCATGTTGGTGTTTATGGCAGAAAAACCAGTGAAGGTACATGGATGAGGCCTCTGTGGATGAGGCTGACTGTGGTGTGTCTCAGATAAATGGGTGTTGAGACCTCGCAGTTCGCTTCTGTCCCTGGGATAATGATGTACCACTGAGGGATGGGACACTTATCAGAAAAATGGGCCTTCTTCCCGAAAAACTCCTCCGTGCTGGGGCAGGCGAATCTCTTAAATATGTTGATTGGAGCTTTGTCTTCAAAACAGAAACACCCACACGATGGCTTTCAAAGAGGAGGTGCCTTTATTCCAGTCTCTCCGTCAATGTTAAGTCCACCCCCCCAAATCGATGCCGACGTCATATTTTCATTTATCTTTGCTCTAATGAAAACAGAAAGACCCTGAAAGGTAACAGGGCACCCAAACGCCCCTCCCCAAGTACACAGTTAAGAAAGTTAAGTTGATATGAGTAATTTAAAATCAATGAATCGTGTTTTTTCTACAGGTCTGCAGGTTATGCTCAGTGTAAACATCAGTTAACTTTAGGAGCGCAACAGGGTACTACACTCCTTACATCTCCTGAATCACCACCAATTTTCTGTCATCTGCAGTGGCATGTATCTGATTGGTTAAAAGCCAAGGACAGCTGTTGTCCCTGTGGCGACATTGTGGTCAATCTGGATGATTCTCATTGATTTACGCCTGCGTTGTACTGACCGTCTACACAGACCTCCCCATCCTCCCCCGAACTGCCCCCATCTTCTCAGTGTGAGTGCAGCAGTGCTGTCCTCCTCTGGTGTCCCACGCTCCCGCGTCAGACACCAACAGCCGGCTGACAGTGTGTCACTTCGCGAAATGGACGATCACTTTACCCACCCTCGTCCATGTCCCCCCCCCCCCCACATGGCTCTGTGATTTGCACGAGAAACGGATGCAGACATAATGCAATTTCAGACTATGAATTTTTTTTAACCTACAGCTTCAATGTTTTTTTTTCCAAGAATGTGCCTGAGCTATTGTGAGCATGCTCAGTCTGCACTTTATCATTTAATCATGAAAATGCAAGACTCTGCAGTAGCATGTTTTTCAGTCCAAATGTCTGAATACGAGTGTCCTGATGTGCAGCATATTATATTGTAGTACAGTTCCGATGATGCAACCAGTAGTTTGATTTAAGTTTAAGAAAGAATCTTTTTAATTTAGACACTTCGATGACAGAATGATAATTCTTTCGTACTTAGATTTCCTGATAACATGTTTGCTGTCGATGTGTATTTTTGAGTTGGATATTTGTACCCAGATCTCTAAAGTGTTTGTTTCTTTTCAGAACAGTGTGAAGTCTGCTCCCCTGCTGTTAGTCTAATTGGAAAGTGGCTGGGGTTCCTGTCTTAAGCAATTTTAAAAGCCATTAAATTTGAGTCTTTGTTTTTAAGCCGATGCATGTTTCTGTGAGGGGGAGACTGTTTTTTATCAGTCAAGGAAATGGGCTCCTTATCTAGAGGTTGTTGGTTCAAGTCCCAGCAGGGCCCCCCCCCTCTATAGTTACTCATTGGTCCATCTTCCCACCACTTATCCTGGAGAGGGTTGCGGAAAAGACGCACTCTCTCTCAAGCATGACGGGACACTATAGGCAGGGAGACCCACTGGACAGGGTGCCAGTCACACGGGAAGAAACCCAGAGTACAGAGGGAAACCCCACATGACACAGGGAGAAGGAACACACACACACACACACACACACACACAAACACAGACACACACCTGTACTCACTCCATTAATTTCTATGGGCAAATCCATAACCCTAACAATGACACCCCTAAACCCTACCCAGCCCTAACCTTAACCATAAGAAATCGAGCAAAACACAAGATTTTCGGCATTATTAGTTTTTTTTTTTTTTTTTTTTTGCAGTCACAGATTATGTAATTGAGTTTCCCTTTTAGGGACCGAAAAAATGGTCCCCACAATGTCAAAATAACAGGGACCAAAGGTCCCCACAATGTAATATATACATTACCCACACACACATACATATACAGACACAAAATAATCTGGTGTGGAGTTGTGGCCAGTATTGATTATGGGGGAGGGATTACAACCCCCATCCCCCAGTAATTAATGCCCATGCCTAGTAAGACATACTGCTGTATAAATGGATAATATATAACGGTTGTTGGATAAACATGCTTCACTTAAACATCTAAATATAAAATTTGCTCACATATTTTCATCAGGATGTCTCAAACGTTAAAACCTGAAGGCTGAGATTTGCATATATTGATTACGCTGACAACGACAGGAATATTACGCCTGACTACAGCAGAGCAAGTGAACGGAACGGTTTTCAGTTTTCCTTGGCTGCTGATTAAGAAGGAGACATACACAGGGATTGATGAAATTCTGCATTGGTTAACGTGATTTATTAAGCCACGTGGGAATAAAAGCAGACGGGTTCCTGGACAAACCTATAGTTCCTGGCACGGAGAAGACAAAGTGATGCTTTTTTTGATCGCCTTGCTGTGCCAGCTCAGGACGACAAGTGTGCTTTGTTACACATTGATTTATTACAGCCAAGAACTAATGCTGTTGCAGCGACCAGCTGATTTAGGGAAGAAAATTAGTTTGCTTACAGAGACCCTCCGCAGCTGGGTCGTAAACCCCACGTTTAATTGCCTCCCAGGGTCTTCTTTCAATACCATAATGCCTATCGCACTCTTAATTTTGTTCACAGACCCGTCCATTTAGTTTAAATGGTTCATTTCCTGTTTCATATTTGTTTTCTTGATTTTATTTCTATTATTATTTTGTTTTCATAAGCCAACAGTAGTAATATTATAGGATGTCTGTGAGATTATTTTGCATGTGCGTGTACAGTATTGAAGAATATCGTTTACTAACGTTTTCTTGCTACACAATCCATACTAAGCTGAAGCAAACGATGCACCTTGCACGGTTTTTTGGTGAATGTCGTTGTTTTTTTTCCATCACTCAGATTTATATCGCTTCTCATAATCTGTCAAAATCTTTGTTAACTGGAAGCGAACGTTGTTAACGCATTAAGGGCGTAAATAAAGCATTGCACCAAAGCTGAACAGCGTCCCTACAACCACAGGCATGTATCGCTCTGAATGCAAATATAGCAGCGAGGTCCGGGCTGTTCCAGCCGTCCTGAGACGCGCACATCACGATGACCGTTTGCGTGCCTGAACCAGCGCCTAGAAAGGGAGGGATCCAATACTTTTCTCCGATTTATATGGAGAAACGTGGGTGCTCTAAGAGAGACGCACTGGGGGATGCTGACAGCTTCTGTAAGGGGCTGTAATACGCAATGGTTTGGGGGCATAAGCAGGCATCGAGGAGCGGCGAGTGAATGAAGAGAAAAACGACGGGAGCATCGCTTTTTCACTCCCATTGCGGGCCGGCGTGAAGGTGTAATTACGTCATAGACCGTAGAAACGCGGCCGCCTCCGGCTTTGGGCAGCGCACCGAAGTCGCCTTGTGGACCGCTCCGTTTGCCCCGAGTCGGCAATCTATCATTTAATATCCAAGGGCATGAGGAGTTCAGGGAAAGCAGCAAACTGCAGCGAATGCCGTGTTAATGTGCGCTGTCATATGGATGTGGAGTATAGACACACACACACATACGCGAGTCTTGTGTGGCTAGGGAATAACGCGCAGGTTAACTTTACCGAGACGTTTTCACACTTAAGAGACTAACACTTCGCTGCCGTCTCCTGTTTTTAATCGCAGCTTGGATTCACGTAAAAGATCCTGCGCAAGGTACGTTTGCTTCCCCCCGGTTTTGCTTTAAGCGCTATGTATATGGTTTTTACGCATGCCAGCTGTTTGGTACATCTACACAATATAATTTCCCTTCTGTTTTTTATGAGGAAGGGTCGAGCGACAGATGTATGTGTACTCCCATCTCTGCAGTGAATTTGCTTTTGTTTTTAAATGCATTTTTCATGCACCTTATTATTTATAGAGGATTGCTAAGAGCGAAGGAATGTGATTAGAGCATTCTATAATGTAGAGACAAGCAAGCACAGTATGGAGCTCTGCGCTATAATCCCAATGGAGTAGCTTGGGTTTCAGTTCGGTTTTTATAATGTTTTCGTGAAACCGGTTTTCCTCGAAATAACAGTATTAGGATCGTTACTGTTGAAAACGCGTAAACCCGCCATCCGCTTTTCCGGTTAAATAAACCGTGCAGAGACATGCAAAGTTTGAATTTCTTATTAATGCTAACACGCTTCTCTGTAAAAGGCATGCTCTTTTGATGTTGTGTTTTATGATAATTAACAACCTTCTCTTTGTAACCAAGCTACGAACACAATAGGGCAACATATAGCCCGTTATACCGCTAGTGGAAACGGGCATTAATGGCTGGATTATGTTGTTGTTTTTTTTTTTTTAGTTTTTTTTTTTTTAAAATGTGGAAAAGACTCTATTAATCCCAGATCTTCCATCTGCAGGACAACGTCTCCCTTGATTAAGAATATAACAATAAATAATTAGCTAATCCTGCAATGGATCCAGTACCGGAATACTCCCTCTTCTTAGTAAGGATCCTGGAAGAGTTGGACGCGAAGTACAGCAGTGTTTCCTACCAGGACCTGTGTAAGTCTCTGTGTGCCAGGTTCGACTTGGTTCACTTGGCCAAACTGCGCAGTCTGCTCTTCTACACAGCCTGCCTGGACCCCAGCTTCCCAGCCACACTGTTCAAGGACAAGATGAGGTGTTCCGTGGACGACCAGCAGTCCAAGAAGCTAATGGTTGCTGCAGACATCGTCACCATGTTCAACCTCATCCAGATGAACGGCGGCACGGCCAAGGACAAGTTGCCAATGGGACCCAGGCCCAAGTTCCACAAGAACCAGTCTTTTGAATCGTGTAGGTCGGACACCGACGTGTATAAGTACTCTCACTCCGATAGGGCGTACGACTTGCTAGAAGCCCAGGGACATCCCACGCTGCAAGCCTCGCCCCGCCCCGAGTCTGGCTGCAACAGCTGTCAGCACTTCATCCCGACCTCTGACCCCAACTTTCTCCTGGGAGTCAGCAAGGATATGAAATGCAGGGCGGCATCACTCGATAAGCTCCAGCACCTTCCGCAGTATTCCCGCGGCAGCTCTCCACCCTGTGAGATGCAGAGCACCTATTTTCCAATGGAGATCGACAGCGAATCCACCACGGACCAGGACTCCTTGCATTTAAACCCCGGGATAAAGGAGACGTTTATTTCTAATGCTGAGCCATTTACTGTTCACTCTTGTGTGCAGAAGAGAAATATCTTCAAGGAGGATTTTCACAATCATGTAGCTTTCACTCCCCAGGTGCTAACCACAGAATCTAATCCGAGCGTTAAAGTGAACGAGGAGTACCAGAGGAAGGAGCCACACAAGTCCACAGCCTTTTTCAACCACAGCTTTGAGCTGCCATACAGCAACCCCTATTTCGAACCCGTAGGATCCCCCGTTCAGGATAAGAGGCGGGTGAAACATGAGAGCCTGGACAATCTTCAGGCGTCCACGTACTTCGGACCAACTACCGTGACGGAGTGCGTTAATACCAGGAAGACGTCAGGGAAGCAAAGCAAGCAACCGCAATGGCCCATAAAGAGCCTGAGTTTGAACACAGAGGAGGGACCTGACTTTGAGAGGTCCTTCCTGGGGGGACAGAAGTTCAAAGACGGCCACCGACGCAACAACATGGAGAATGAGCAGCACTACCAAGGCGCCAAGGAGAAGCCGCCAGTCACCACCTCGGGGTTCTGCGTCAAATCTAATGGGCCAAAAATGAAAGACATGGGATCTATGGCCAGCGGTGCTGCTGCAGACAGGCGAGAGGTTAAGAGGTTTAAAGACAAGACCATCAACTGCACGTCTTTTCAGGCAGGAAATGTGGACAGCACCCTGAGTGTAGGGACACAGACTGAGCAACTTGACCAAAGGAGGCGGAAGGAATTTGCTGGTCATGGCAAATATGGAGAAAAGCAGCCTTTCAAGCTCTCCGACGAGGACTCCGAGATCGTCAGCGATGATATCAGCGACATTTTCCGCTTCTTGGATGACATGAGCGTGTGTGGCTCCATGGGCGTCATCCAGTCGTCCTGCTATAACAGCAATGGCTCTCTGTCCCAGGTGACAAAGTCAGACGGGGACAGCACACCTGAGCACAACACGATTAAGCTGGGAAAGGGCGCCAACAAGTTAGACCGGCTCTTCCACTCACTGGAGAGCTCTGATGACGAGCTGAAGGCCAGCGTTTGTAAGCTGGTCCTTCGGATAGGCGAGATCGAGAAGAAGCTGGAGTCCCTCTCCGGTGTCCGAGGTGAGATCTCTCAGGTCCTTTCGAAGCTGAACAGGCTCGACGAGAAGATCCAGGAGCCGGAGGCTAGTGGCAGGACAAAAGATGGCAACGCGGCCAACCTCCACCCTCCAGTGTTCCAGTGTCACACCACTGGCCATGCAGTGAAGGTGGACGGCGGCCCGGAATGGTGCTGCTCCGACGCCGGCGGGAGCAGCAATGATGGCCTGAGGGTTAAAGCACTGAGGAGAAGTTTCTTCACCAGAAGGTCCTCCAGGTCCCTTACAGAGGAGAACAGTGCTACGGAATCTAAGGTGGCCAGCATCTCCAACTCCCTGAGAGACTGGAGGGCTGTGTCCTACTCCAGCCACCCGGGAGATAATGGGAAGGAGAAAGATGGCAAGGATCGGCAGCGAAAGTCGAAGGAGGTAAGGAGTGAAAGCAAGCTGACTCTGTGATGTATTTGTTAATTAGGTGACAACATGCATAAAAGGTGCTATAAGAGAAATAATAAAAATGCAAACAAAAGTATGCATCACTTACTCTATTAGAAATTAACTTACACCGTTTGCATACACAGTAATATGACGCGTAGACATATTGCTGAAGTTTTTTAAGCTGAACTAACAGTGGCTGAGATTTATCTCGTTATATAGTTGTCTGCGAAAAGTTACCTCAACACTAAATGACACGTTTGCCGATTGCATCGTTTATTTTCGAGTCCATAATGAAACTCCATAAATTTTACGGACGCTGATGGAGCCGGAAAAGGCTGACTAATTATGTTATTTGCGCAGGTGCTGGTTTGTGATGAAACTCGCAGCCTCGCAGAAGGGGGAGGGCAGAGCCGCTATGAATGGCTCTCTAGCTCTGTGGGGGTTAGAAGCATTAACTCCCCCTAACCAGGCGTGCGATCTGCGTGACATATAAATAGAGAGGGCGGTGCTGTTAAATAAAATGTACGAGATGGGAGATTTTGTGACGGGAGGAGTGACGTGACGGAGTGGCTAACCGAAGTGTGGAGACAGCACTATAGTGCGCGCAACACAGCATGATCCACACTGTAAAATGGCCTCTTGTGCGCTTTCTTTATGAACGATGGCATGTCACTTCCTGGGCAAAGGGATTGGGTCCATTTTAGGCTACTTCCTGAGCACGAATGAGTCTGATTTGGGTTGTACTGTAGGTTAAGATTACAGTAACACATTAAGGTCCTGCTGGAGAAGCCCTGGACTAATGTACTGGACGAACTGGACTTGTGGTGAGATCTAAAGCAGAGCAGGTGCTGGGTGGGCAGTGTGTCATGCCTGTTTGCCTCTCTCTGGGTCCGAGACGCATTTCCCTTCATTCTGGTGCTTTTGAACCATACCCTTCCCTCCCCCCACCTCCCCAGGAGTGCTGCCTTCTGCAGTGCACGCTCTCGGGAGGTATTGTGATGCACTCAGTCACAGTGACGTCCCAGGAACCCTTTCATTCTAGTTTGCTTTGCTGCTGATACCAATCATTTTCTGCACGGTTGACACACGAGTCAAAAAATCACCGTGACCTGAACCTTTCGCTCCCCCCTTCCTGCACCTATTTACCGTCACTCACTCCCACTCCTTCTTGGCTTGCCGGCATCCCGTCAGGATGGCACCGTTCCCAGATGGCCTCGTGCCAGTATTTCCTGAAATGTCCCCAGAGTATTCAGAGCAGATATGGGATGAAATATCTGCAGGGCTGCTCATCATAGCTTTCTGTAACCCCTGGCCCTCCTCTGAGTGTTTAACGCTCCCCCGGAACGGTCGGGGAGGACCTCAGCAGGGTTGGCATTGTGAGGGGGTCGTGCTCCCCAAAATGAGCCGTCCCGGCCCACCAGCCACCAAGGACAGTATCTTTTATTTATTTTTTCATCTGAAGAAGAAAAAAAAAATGCCAGTCTCTGTCAGGGGTGTGGCTACAGATCATCTGCTTCAGCATCCAATGCCCCTGTGTCATCCTTGATCACCAGATCATCAGCTTTTATGATCAATAGTCTAAGCGTGCCCCCCCCCCACCCCCCATTACATTTGCTCGGTTCCGGGACACAACCTCAGGGAAGTGGAGCGAACCCAAAAATCATCACAGCAACCAAAGGAAAAAACGTCCTTTCCAGTAGCGACTGGGCTTTCCCATGCCCGTCCTCTGTTGGTGCTGCCCCAAAGGATGTAGTGCTTTTCAGATGCCCGTTAGTTTCCCAGACAACTCTTGCATCATGCAAATGGTGGAATCTGTAAAAAAAAAAAAAAAAACCCGGCAGCATTCTGCGGAACAGGGGACAAAGGCTGTAGGACTGAGTGCGGCTACTCCTGGTCTAGTGAGTCCAGCACGCAGCAGATACCCCAGGTCTAGTGAGTGCTGCAGCAAGGACAGAGCCACGATAAAGGATGACGTTTTTGTACAGATGTACAGATGCGCAGAGAAGCCACAGCCTGGCCCACATGGGCTGCTCCATCATCTCAGGGCCGGGTCCAGCATTCACCTTCTGGAACTGACCTCCTCCAAAGTTGATAGCCCATGGTAAACCCATCTTAGATGTGTGTCCTGTTCCGAAGCCCCCTCCCCCTCCAGAGCCTGGGAGCGTTGATGGTCCTCCATCCCTCCGAAACACCGGGGCCATGCTGCACACCAGACCATGCAGACCACCTGTTCGGCAACGCATCTGGAAGTAAACCCTAGGATCTGTGTCACGCCTGGGAGCGATGTGATGGCGCCATGTTCACACGCAAGACACATTTAAAAGCCACGCACACAAATGACAGTTGGTAGATCTAACAGCGCTTTTTCACATTGGATTGCAGGCCATTAGCCTGTTGTGGAATGATGTACGTATTCAGGGATGGCAGCTGACTCGGAGGGTAGCAGTGAGGCCAGATGCCTCCAGGGTTGTGGGTTCGATGTGTGAGTGTGTGGGTATGGAAAGTGGCTGGGCTACCATATACTGTTAACCCCCGATTTAACAAGCTGCCGGATAGGGTATCCGGAATATTGCAAGAGTCAGGAAGAGTCTGGGGAGAGTGATTTCCAAAAAAAAACCACAAAACCATGCTAATGTGAAAAAGCTTTTATTGATGTAAGTGCTTGTTGTATCTCTGCTGATTTCTGTGATCCATTATGGTTTGACCCGTCTTCTCCATTAGGATCCTACTGCAGGATGTAGTAAATCCAATTATTTTCTTAAATATTAGCAAATTACTGTAATATAAATATTGCCGGTAGAGCACCTCAGTGCGGGGGTGCAGTGTCTCACACCTGCAGGGTTGTGCCTTTGAATCCCACCCCCTCTCTGTGAGCATGTTCTCCCTGCGTCTCTGAGTTTCCACACCAGTTTCCTCCCACAGTCCCAAGACGTGCAGTTAGCTCAGTTGGTGTTTTTAAATTGCTAAATGTGGCGCTTTGGGAACTAGACATACCCGACTCGTACTGCGAAGGGTGACTACGCTGTCAGAAGAGGGGTACAGGCCTGCTCCCCAAGGTACAAACAACATTAATTTGCCCCCCTATGGTGCAAAGATGCTTCTCAGAGTCCATTTTCTTAAAATGTACATTTACATACAGCTAGGGTACGGTTGGCAGACCCTTGAGGGTATAGCCACAGTGACAAGTTATTATACCCTCAAAGGTACAAATTGGTACTTCGTATTCCTGACAGTGTAGTTGCAGCACAATCCTGGCTCACTTCAGTTTTCTGCTGCACAGAAGGGTCGACTTACATAGCAACAGTGACGTAAGAACCAAAGAGGCGCTTAATTACTGTCCGCATGGTGTACATCATGATTTACTGTGTGCTAATTTGCGCTAGCACGTCTATGAGAATCGGCATGTTATGTTAGCATCAAACACTTGCGAATTAGCATTTGCTAGATCACCGGTGCATCAGTGCAGATCATCGGTTCTTCCTAGTCTCATGCATTTCAGTCAATCGGAGGGTGGTGACACAACCAGCTTGGTTTGGTCATGCTTTCGTGTCATAGTGAATACAGGTTAGGTACAGCTTGCAAAACTCACAATGGAGGACCATCTCAATGTGGTTTGGCTCGGGAACGGCTTGGTTCTTGGTGGCATAGGAAAAGCGCCAACAGAGTATGATTGTGTGTGTGTATCCTGTGATTGACTGGTATCCCGCCCAGGGTGCAAATTTTCACTTTACAGGGTGGTTTGGAAAAACTAATTAATATTCATGAGCGCTACCTGATTGGCCAGTGAATGCCTTAGACAGAGTTCAGCGGCCAATCAACTACATTCTCTCATGAATAGTAGTTTTCCCCAAGCTCCTTGAGAAAACAGGTAGCGCAAGTTGATGGCAGCATGTTCACCAGCTAATCAAGTAGCTTCCCTCATGAATATAAATGAGTATTCCAAAACCACGCTGTACACTGAAAATTTGCAGCCAGAGTGTACCCTATCCCGGTGCTTTCTGCTGTCTGGCGAAGTCTCCATATCCTGCTCTGACGTTCTGCTAGCTACACGGTTGGATGATGAATGCATCATTGCTGTTTTTGTGAACATTTGTACAAATAAAGTTTAGGTGATTTTTACAAGGAGTGTTGCTGAACTGGCCTAACAAAACCGGGTCAAAAAACGGTTGATCACTAAGCTTAAAATCCAGTTTCAGTATATAGAAAAAAGGCACGAAAAATGATTTTGACCCTCTCCGACCCAGAGAGTACCAGACACATTTATCCTGCTGACAGCTTGGGCTGTATTCGGTGAATACCAAAAACACAGTGTGATTCTCAGTAACCGTGAGTTTCCCTGCTACCTGAAAGTGTGATGCCAGCGGGAAATTGCATAATGCAAAAGTTAGGTAGTGACAGGTCATTTAATACCAGTGTCAGATCAAGGTTAGAGCAGCAAGGCTCAGAAATGCGGGAATGCTGGTAATTATGCCTGCCGGTCCGGTGGAACGTTTACTCCGCGCTGGAGATGCGCGTGCATATTCCAGCAGGCTGCAGATGGTCCCTTTTGTCATCCGAGGACTGTGGGGTTTTAAACCGTGGCTGGTGTGAATGCAGGACACAGGCGGCCTGTCACCAGAACATCCCAGGGATTGTCAGAGCGATACCTCCCCGGCTGCCATGGAGATGGAGCTCCGGCCACAAGGCCCCTGAGCTCACATCCAGCTAATGGCTGCCTGCCAACTAAGGATACTTCTGAGGATGATTCCGCTGGAAAGCGGCTTCTCACTGCTTCAGGTGTTTGGAGCCGTTTACGCGTGCGGCCCTTTAAGGGACTGGCGACGCACGTGATTTCTCGAGGAATTGGAAACATTTGCTCCTGTGAAATTCTGGTGGGAGACACTATAGTGACATCACCACTTCGGCCGGTTGCTTCCCATGAAAATCTTTGCACTTTGGATCCTGACTCTGTTTTGTGTCAAGAGTCAGGTGAGGAAATGTGAGCTTATTTCGAGCTCTGAAATAGCCCAGAGGTACCTTCTGTGCCCCAAGGGCCTGCTGGAGATGGGTCATTACGAATCTCGCCACACAGATGGGGCCCTTCCTGCTTTTAAGTTTGCGTCCTGTGCTGTTTTCATTCTTCTTCTTGCCTTATTTGGCTGAAACACGTCTGGAGTGTTTCAGCGTTTTAACCGCGCCTTTTGACCCTCACACACAGACAGAGCGCCAGTGTGAGGCCCCCCAGGTTCACCGCGCATCCAAACCCCTGAAGGACTCCTACGTGGTTGAGCAGGTGTTCAGCCCGCACCCTTTCCCCCCCTCCGTGAAGTCGCACATGAAGAGCAGCCCCCTCTATACAGACTTGCGGCTCACCGACCTGTCAGAGGGCAAGCGAGCGCAGCCATCCTGGACGATCGAGGAGTACAAGCGCAACGCGATGGACAAGAGCAAGCTGGCCACGCTGGACCTGCAAGTGAGTGATGCGTGATTCTTTGCATTATGGGATTGTTGAAAATATCTCCTTACCGGGCAGGTTTAATCCCAAGGAGGCTGCTTCCTTAGCTTTCAGCTGGGACAGTTTACACTCACAGGAATGACTCAGTCCTGAGTTTTCAAGAGATTTGTGAACCTTGAATGGAAAGAAAAGGAATTCAGTATTTACTGGCCTTATCTGGACATACCAAACATCACAGATGAAAAGCATCTTGGCGAATTGCCGGCGGCCGGATCCCTGAGGGATCGAGGGTGGAAGTTTGCATTTAATTAACCAGGTACAAAGCGCCATTCGTTGATTCTCTTTTCATTGTACTCAATAAATTCACTAAGCTAAAGCACTGGTTCAGATTCACCACTGTGGGTTCTTCTTGATGTTATGTGGGTCGTAAGTTCCGTTTCTGAGGGTGAGGGAGGGCGAGATTAAGGTCTCTGCTCTTCGAGGTCCGTTTCTCAGGACAGTTTGAGGTCTTCGTGTTCGTCACGGTCTGTTTGTCAGGATGATCTGGGGTCTGACTGCCCCATGTCTGAAGGAAGATGAGTAAGAGGCAGGCTTTGGAGTGCGGCTGGTGGGCAAGAATGACCCCTGAGATACCTGACTGGCAGAAAATACACAATAACCAGTTATTATTAATATCAGCAGATGTACTGTTTTTAATCTTGTTGTTTTAAGCATGTTGCAGTCTCCAGATGAATATCATGCGTTAATATTTTTTCAGCACAGAGCAGAAGACCTTTCATATACAGTGTGCTCCTAGTAGAAGGTTATATTCCTGAACACCTGCAGCTCCTCACCAGATTTATTTTCAGCTTGTCTACTCAATGCTGGCACCATGAACCTAAAACGTGTCACCGGGGTTGTCAGATTTACCCACAATTCCACAGAATGTCAGAGCATGGCCAGGGCGGGCACGTAGCCCTCATTCACACAAGGTTAATTCCGTCAGCGCTGCTAATGCAGACGGAGGTGTTGGTCCAGCTGCACCGTTGGCCAGTGGCATGTGTCCGTCCAACGGCGCGTGAGATAGCAGCACATCCACCCTCTACGGTCACAATCCACACCCTGGACGTTCACTTGCTGCACTGCAGTGAGCTGATTCTACGCTCCAGCTTTGCTTCATACGTTCAGCTAGGGCTGCACGATTTATCGATTTCAAATCGAAATCGCGATTTGAAATAACGCAATTAGCAAGTCGCAAAAATCGCGATTTAGGATATACATTATACAGCACGTCGGACCCAGGGTTTAAAACTGCTGTGAGAATAGTTTTACAAATTCATGCCGTGCTCCCTGTGTGACAGTCATGCTCGCCAATCACAAGCGCTGCGCTTCTTGTGTGCCAGTCATGCTCACCAATCAGAAGTGGCCCAAGAAGGCGTATAGGCCCACAAACAGCAAACACGTGAAACCCAAGGA